CACTCTAGTATAAATAATATACTATAAATAGACTTTTAAAATATATTGTAGCTTTGATTTATTGACGTTGCTATGCACTGCGAAGGACAACATTTTTGCAAAACTTACTCTAGCTAAATGATTATTATTAACCTATTAAAGTGCAATAAAGGTGATTATTTATCTCATGATTAAATAGATAAATTACATATTTTAAATTGTAAAACTTTGATCTTAATTATAAATTGTTATTATATCTTGCACAGCCTTAAGATTAATATAATTTTAAGAAAAATAAATATTTAATATTAAAAAATTAGAATAAAATGAGAAATAATGGAGTTTTTAAAATCTTACTAACAATTTCACGGTTTATTATTATTATGTTATTTAATTTATTCTTTACTAGTGCTGAAGATGTTAAGTTTAATACTTTTATATAACATAACAAGTTTAAGAAAGAATTGTATTATTAACGTCCTTCTTATTCTTAAATATTAATGATTTAATTATGGTATTATATTAAATTTAAAGAAATTATTATCAAGTCGTGAATGTCGTGATATTCATTTATGCTGCGACAATACGTAAGTAATTATGAATATCACGTCAATTAATTGATGCGTTTAGTTATCTATCTCGTATCTGCTATTATACCAAACATAATATGATGCCATACTATGTCGCCGTGTAAAGCATACATATAATAAACGAGCCCCGGAATTGCGTGGCACCGACGAGAGCGTGCTGCATTGAATCAAAAGAGTTCCCGTTGTACTTTACTTGATATTTGCGGCACGTATGTATGTGTTGTGTACCACCAATTGCAGGCGATATTGCACGACAGAATGCTATCTCGCTCTCGAATCGCGAAGATCGACGATGGGACGAGACTGGTGAAATCGCCTGTTATAGAGCGTCCCCACCGTTCTACTCGCGCCACGATCTATCCTTCTCTAGATAGATTACCCCCCTTTTTTCTCTTTCCTTCTCCCCTCGCACAATTAGGGTTAATTAGCACGCGTAAGCGAGAAATCGCAATTGGAGCAGGCGAACGTACGAGCCAGCAGTAACAGCAGTAACAGCATCACTCGCTCTCTCTATTCGACTTTCCACAAAATCGTCCTCGCTGGACTGCACGCATATGTCGTCATTCCTCCTGTCTTTCTCTCGAGCGAGCACACCGAAACCGGTCTAATTTCGATGATTTCAATTCTCGGAGCTATATAAAAGGAGTATATAAAAGACTGGAGCTTTGATACAAAATAGCGCAATATAAAAGAAGACAAGCGTTATTTATGATGATATTATGTAATTATGATGTCGCGTCACATGAAGGGTGGTACCTCTAGTTTTTTTTATTCGGAAAAATAAATAAATAAATAATAAAATTTGGTCTGTAAAATTTTCATTTTTTTGTTTAATATAGAAACACGAATGAAAATTTTAGCTTATAAGCAATTTTTATTATTAATAAAAGTAATTATAAGCCAGTTTATTAAATCGTTTCTATATCTATGTGTTGAAGCCTGAATTTATAGAAAGTATGCCGATTATTATTGAATCGCCTCGATATTCACCTTGTGGAATTCTAAAGCTATCCGCGGTTATATTGTCAATTTAAATAATACTGGTGATTTCGTGGGATAACTGACGTAGGATAACTTCTTTAACATTCTCCATCTTTCTCTGTAGTGGTTAGCAATGAAAGAAGAAATCGCGGAGGTGCAATGGAATTACATAAGACGAAGAATGTAGATATATCTTGCACGAGCACGCGTAACGAGTCTTTATCTGATCCGTAGAAATATTTTAATGCTATAATGTCATTAGGTGATATGATATATTTAGAATATTACACATTTTATAAGAATGTTAAAAATTAGCGTTGCCATGCCGTGTCATAATGACCGTGAAAATATCAGCCGGTTGACTCAGCTGTGCCAAAGTATAATTAAGATTCGAATGAATTGAATTTTTTTTTTGCAGAAATCATGGAATCGTTTAGATTGACGGAATTATTATTATATGTAGCCACGTGGTACAGCCGCTATGACTCAGCTATCATATATCTCATATACGCAACATTGACGAATAATTTATCGAAGACTGACGCAAGCAAATAGAGGATTATCAACAAGAAGGTGTGCACAGCGAGAGATTTTATTGTGTGGAAAACTTTTACACGTTCAGAATAAATGTATTTTGTTGCGAGGAAGATAGGATTCGCGGCAATACTTTTGATCAAGGACCATGAGATCTGATCACGATTGCGATAAAAATGCTTATTTATCTATTTAGATGTTGCAATTATATTAATGTCTGATTAAACGGATGAAAGGATTATTTCTAATAAGATCTTATCGGCAATCTCGAGTTTTCGCGCACGAATAGGTAGTGACGGAGACGATAAAAAAATAGGCTGCTATTATTTACTCTCTGCATTTTGCATAAGTATGTCGTTTAAATTTGTTCACCTAATGAAAGCTATATTAAAAAGATTTACAAAGAAATTTTGCTTTAATATTGAAGTTAATAACTTTAAAGTGAAAGTTAATTATCATGGTTAATATTGGCTAATAATGTTAATTTTACCTCACATGTCGTTGGCTTTATTTCACGTCTCAGAAAAAATAAAAATTACTATTAGCAATGAAGAGATTAAAGATAAGAAACAATGTTACAAAGAATTTCTCTCAACCGCTTAGGACAAAAAGCAATATTCGTAAATTTTTTCGTGGAATTGGAGATTCTTGAGAAAAGTGAATCAAACTTTGCTCATATTTTTGGCTTGTTATTAACCTGCTTTCTCTTAAATGCTAGCTGTGTCGTCATTTATAAATTCTTGCTGTCAACGTTGATCATAAGAATAAATGTTAAATTATATTTGGATATGTCTAATTACTGCCAAGTTCCTTTCAACTCCAGCTTGTATTATACATGATTTAACATTAACTTATTTTATCTTCTATTGCAATCATTGATACTTTTTTTTAATTTATGATACGAACGTAATAGTTTTATTCGACTATTAAGAAAATAATTGATATATCTATTTAGCCGCAAATTAACAAATATAGAAAGTATACATTTCTTCAAATATCTTTCATTGAATTGTTATGATTTTAAATTTGATGATAACAAGAATAGATTAAAAGACAAGAAACAATGCAAATATAAAAATCAATTTTGTCAGTCATCAAATCTTGATCAATAAAAGTCTGAAGAGTACAATATATAGTTTATATAAATACTAATGGAAAAGTTCTGACCTATTTATAAAGAGAAAAAATTTTAGAAAATATTTAAATTTCTCTTTTGATAAATACAGACTCAATGTAATGGAAGGGTTGTATTGAACGATGACGATTGAGTCGATATAAACGCGTTCGTTCCGCGCAATTTACGTTCTGGCCGGTCGATCCGCTGTTGTGCGGGATTGCTAATTCCGAACGGGACGATAAGAACGGGCCTGAATTAAACGGGAACGAGGTGGCATCGCGCTCGCACGTACACAAGTTACACTTTCGCATTGCAATTGCAACGTCGTTTATCGAACTAGGCGCGTGACGATAGATTAAATAAATAGTTGATTAGTGATTTCTTGAATATAGACAATTTAAGAAACCAGACATTATATTGCCATCGAAAAATCATCAAGCGAAAAATGTGCAAAACGTGCATAAATTTGGTGATTGAATATACAATATATTATCAGGATACTACGATTACTAGAGTCTTTTGACATATGCATTTTCAATGCCGGTTCAATTATGTTTATAATATCATGGCATCGCAACATTAGCGATCGGATGACGGAACTATACATTATGTATATTTTTTTATAAATTTTTTTGTAATAAACAATACTTTAATTTAGTAATTATTTCGATTAAAAATTCTTCAAAATGTATTCTTTTTATAATATATTTTTTTTTACTAAAAAGAAGAGAAATTGGTTTTGTATACTTTTTCTTCCAATACATCTCTACATATTGATAGAATTTTAATTAACATATAGGTAGGATAGAGAGTTATCAGAAAATTATTATTCTATTAAATACTGTCGCTAGATTAAACATTTATCATTACATCGTAAGTATAAAAAGTATGACAAACATATATAGACGCATACACAATAAAGTAACCGTGGTAGAGTCTTCATAGAAAATCCTAGGTTGCGGTTAAACTTGATCCTGAGAGTCCGCCATCATCGCCTAGGTTTAGAAGGAAAGGAAAGGAAGAGGCTAGGGAGAGACGAAGAGAAACATCGTCGGGCAAAAGACCCGAGGTGGTCAGGAAGGGAGGAGGTTAGTTGAAGCGAGGTGCAAAAGGTGAAAAACAGTTTGCCATCAGCATAACCGGTTCCACGTATCTCCGGCGAGCGGGTCTCGCGCTCCTTCTCTCTCTTTTCTTTTGCTCTCCTGAGACTCGCCCGGTCCGGCCAACGGGGTTTCGCCCGACAGGGTCGCTCGCTTTCTTGATGATAGTCGAGTACTGGTTACCAGTAGCGGGTGTCCTTATACAGTTAAAGACATTATCTCGTCTCTTGCCCCAAATTCTATCAACTAGTTATAGATTATTTTGTAGCTTTTGTATCGTTTACTTTAAGCTCGCGAATGAATCATTTGTTTTACTTCATCTTCTTGAAAAGAATGACTTTCCAACGTTCTAACTAAAACGGTATCGTGATGGTTTAATAAATAAGAATCTCTGGATTTCAATTTTCACTCATTGAGTTCATCTTTTTACAGACATGTCTTTATTTCCGATAATTTTTAAATCATTCGCAGTTATTTTAAAAATCGAAAAATACAAACTGAAATTTTTGCTAAATTTTTAACGAAATTAATTGCTTGTGAATAAATCTTTATCAATATCTCCAAGATCTTGATAAGGGTAGAAAAAAGAATTTTCGATCAAATAAAACAGTCAGTATAATTTTATCTCTGTCACTCGCAATCGTGTCGATCGTTCTTACAATTTCGACATTTTGTGGGCAACGAACTTTCCTGTTTCAGGTTCGGTCTGAAAAAAGAGGAAGAGGACACAGTTAAATTCACAGAGGAAGATACGGATATTCAACGATTCAGTATCGTCCAGGTGTTAATCGGGAAGCCATCTTATCGGGAAAACTAACAGGATGACAACGATACAGAGCTGTGGCGGTAGTTCATCAAAATGCGCGAAGCGTGCCTTCGTCTTCTTGTTTGCTTGGGGACTGCTGATGATCGCGGCGGTACAGTTTCGTCACTTGGAGAATAGAGTTTTGCATCAGGACGGTGGTCCCACGGCCGAGGACGGCATCGGTAATCTGGTGGAGGTCGGTAGCAACGATCGAGGTGCGAACCGAGATTCCGCAGGGAGCTTGAGTTTGTCCCGAATTCTCTTGGAAAGGTCGTCATTGAGCGATTTCACCAACTTTGGCGGCGGTAACGCCGCTCTGCTGACCACCCTGACTACTCTTAAAAACCATCTGGAAGCGACGATAAATCCGCTCGAACTGGAACCGTTGCTGGATAAAAGACCTGCCAAGACCGAGCAGCAATTAATCGAGGAGATCGCCGAAAGAATACCGAGCTTACCGCTGAGCGATTGGTCCAAAAATAACAAACCGACAAAACGAAATAATGAGAGCTGCGCTAAATACCCACAGATCTACGATTTAGAATTTAATAATATTTATTGGCAAACACTGCGAACTACTAATGGCACATTTCAGTTTTTTGGTGCGTTTTACGACAATCGAAAATTATCCAAGATTGGGCCGGCAGTGAGGATCGTTGGCATGATTGATCGGATTGAACCAATTGTGAAGACGTATTGCCAGTTATGGTACGACGGCGAGAATGAGCCCAAGATTGTCGAGACGCTTGAATACAAGTACATATGGTATCCTAAATGGGGCAATTACAAGCAGGGCATCTATCAGCCATATGTGATAGCATGTAGAGTGCCGCCACAAGCGTACGGTAAACCACCGTCGTCCGTTTCCATAGTGGAGAAACGTTGTGACACGGCCACCAATCATCTTCGCGTAATTTACAACAAGCCCGAACGTAAAAAGGACTTTGCGGTGTGCGTAAAGGGTCTGGACTTTCTACACGAGGATCTGTCGGTTCGGCTAGTTGAATGGGTCGAGCTGATCAGCCTGTTGGGTGCTGACAAAATCTACTTTTACGAGCTGCAGGTGCACCCGAACGTGACCAAAGTGTTGCAGCATTACCAGCGCCTGGGTATGGTGCATGTGACCCCATTGACCCTGCCAGGCGGACAGCCTAACGTGCCCGCCTTCCAGCACATGTATCTCACGAAGAAAACCAATCACAAGCGGCAGAATGAACTAATACCTTACAACGATTGTTTGTACAAACACATGTATGAGTATGAGTATATCGCACTGTTGGACGTCGACGAAGTGATTATGCCCGTGAAGGACGCGACCTGGCAAGAGCTGATGCGCCGGGTATTGCCCAAGGCCCTACAAATACGGAACGAGACCCGTGCCTCGTACAACGTCAGAAACGTCTACTTCCTCGACGACCTACTGCACTCTCATGGTTACTTCAAGGACATACCCAAGTAAGTAGGGTTTCCACTTTCACGCCGCGCACAAATCGACCGTCCGTGAAGGGAATGCAAAGGCGGATGGCTCTCAAGTAGATACATATGTCGGTAATAGGAGTCACGGATTGGTTTTTCCAACGAATTAATAAAAAAATTGTAGTCGCGAAGGAGAAATACGAAATTTGTGATAATTGAATACATTTGTTTGCTGAAAGAAGAAAAATTCTTATACATATATATAGGTATACAAATACAATTAATTATATTATATTATTATGTTTTTCTTCTATATCTTTTTGTAGTGATGCAAGTTTTAAAATATATTTGATTCGTACTACAAGTTAGATATATGTTCATATTTTTATTTTAATCTTGAAGTGATCGAAAAAATTAACTGTGTGGCATATGAAAAACTTGATAGTCATAGTCTTGTTTTGAGAAAAAAATGTTTCCAAATTTATATCTTTATCTTTGGAATGGAATTTATGATAATTAATTCTGAACGTCTTCTCTACTCTCGCCATTTTCGAGAAATTTCAACTTACAAGAAATGTATTCTTGATTGTAACATTTCCTCATAGGTATATGCACATGCTGCAACACGTGTATCGCTCGAAGAACTTTACGAAACCAAACCAATACATCAAGTGCTTCCATAATCCAGAACGGGTGGTTACTCTACACAACCATTTTCCCCTGGCATGTCTGGGTGCTGGATGCACCAGTTATCCGATCGAGACCGAGGATGCGCAACTACAGCATTATCGCGCCGATTGCGTGCGATCGTTAAAGAAAACATGCGTGGAATATCGGGAGAACAGTGTGATAGACACGACGATATGGCGTTACAGGGATAAGCTGATCAACAGAGTCACCGACACCCTGAAAACCCTCGGCTTCTTCGGATCGAGATAGCGTCGGAGATTGATCTTCTTTTTTTACTTTCATTTCTTTCTCTCTCTTTCTCTCTTTCTCGTGAAGATTTGATCGGTTGAGAAGCGATGAATCTATCAGCGGGAGGTAATTGCCGATGGGACTTGATCAGAGATTTAATTGAACAGATAATAGAGATTGGTGTAACCGATAAAGTGGATTCATTTCTAGTGACAGCGTAATATCGCGTCTTTTATTTCTATATGTTGTTGTGTGCGTGAGAAGAGTGTGGATCGATAACCTTTGTCTGATGATAGTGCTATCAGTATAAATACACAGTCGTGTCTATGAACGGCAAAATATTTTCAGCTTTATGAAACAAGGTTATCAGTCAAGAACATTTATTGAGACCATATTAGAACAATTGATATTAGAACAATTGATTGTGTGTGAATTAATTTAATATAGAACTCATTTATCGCCTAAAGTAAAGTAGCGTATATAAAATACGGGATTTAATTTTTTAAGTTTTTATTTGATGCACGCATAGTTCTTTATTAAAGTTGATTTAATTGTAATAAAAAAATTATCGAGTAAATCCATATTCCAAATCTTAGCTGAATAAAGTCGCAAGCAGTTTACTATGGGAAATTATTATAGTCAATTTATGCCAGTCCTATTAACACGATAATTTTCAGGCATTCGCGAAATGAAAATTATCTCTAGGCAGAACATAATTGTGATTTGATTTGTACCCACAACGATACGCAAATTTTCGATTCGAATGGCAAATTAAGTGACCGAATTGCATTCGTAAGAAAACTGCAGTATTCTTTTTCTTCCTTTCTTTGTAAATAATTTCTCATATAAGTCTTACATGCTCAATATGAAATATTAGTTTGCGATTGATTCGATAGCGAATAAGTGCAATGTATCAGTAAACAGATTACATTTGGATACAATATACGGATTGTATGTAACATTAAATTTAATAAAAGTTAACGCGCGCGCGGTGCGCGCGGACTATTAAAGTTGTGTTTTAACAAAGAATATAAAGAAATTATATAAAAGAAAAATAAAGGCGCGCGCGAAATTATTAGTTATATTATAAGTGCATTATGCCGAAAATATATTTAAACAACAATAAAATATATAAAATTTTCTTTTAATGTCTAATCTAGACATTAAGAGAATCTGTTTTGGAATGGTGCTAAAGGTATTGTCATACCATTCCGATGACTGAAATGCTGTGAGGTGTATATCATAAGCATCGATATTGTAAAGACTACTTTTGATTTAACCAGTTTTCCGCAATCACGAAGTAGTTCGATTTTCGTAGATTTTATTTCGATTTTAGTACAAAAATCGAAATAAAATTATTTGAATTTTTATCATATTTGATAAAAGTGAGAAAATGAATAAAGAAAATATTACAGTCAGTATGATACAAACTGCGTTAGGGGAGCGCACTATCAACGTTATTGTGTCAGTCTAACTTTATTGTTTATTATGTAGATATGATACAAGGACAGAATGACACAATAACGCTGACAGCGCGCTCCCTGTACGTAATTATAGTTCAATGTTTATTTTATTTTGTGTGTGTGTGTGTGTGTGTGTGTGTGTGTGTGTGTGTGTGTGTGTATGATTGGAATTAAAATATTAAATTAAATAATTCAAAATATCATAGCTTTTGTTAATAAGAATATGAAAGTACTTTATCTCATTTAATTGTTTATAACCGCTTCGTGATTTAGGAAATAATCTTTCCTTCTCTTATGATAAACCTCGATCGCTTTCTGTACGATGAAAATCGATTGTTATTTACTATTCGACATAAACGTCGCTTGTAAATGTAAGAAGGCGATTCATGTTTCACCATGAGATATATCAATATAAAGGGACCATTGTAGATATGAGTCAATAAAAGTCAGAAAAGTTGATTTGCATAATGTTTGATCTATTTGCGAGAATAAAATAATATTGTACTTTTTAAAACTTAGTGGCCTGTTTTTCAGGCTAAATCATTTTCAGACGAAGTGTATCTTTAATTTGGACATTAATTTGGAATGTGGAGCTAGCTTGTATCGAGTGGCATTAGTGCCATTTGAAATGTCCGTTTTGTCTTATCGTATGCGTGTCCAAATTGTCGGATGTTATCAGCATGATGAGTCAGCCTGCCGCTCGACATGCGTCAGGATAATCGATGGCGATTGCAATATAAGCTTTTTCCATCAACCAAGCGACGACGTGCGGTATCGAAAGAGACTTCGAAATGCAACTATTAATGTTCTCTTTCCTATTATTTGTTGAGTCATTAATTTTATTCGTCTAAGTTTCTAAAGGTATTTCGACATCTCTTGGAATATAACACTACTATTTTCTAAATATAAGAATAATTTTACGTAAATGTTGGACATTAATTTGGAATGTGTTTGCTTTAGCTTGTAACGACTGGTATTAGTGTCATTTGAAATGCCCGTTTTGTCTTATCGTGTCCAAATTGTCGGATGTTATCAGCATGATGAGTCAGCCTGCCGCTCGACATGTGTCAGGATAATCGATGGTGATTGCAATGTGAGCTCTCTCCATCAACCAAGCGACGATGTGCGGTATCGAAAGAGACTTCGAAGTGCAACTATTAATGTTCTCCTTTCTATTATTTGTTGTCATTAATTTTATTCGTCTAAGTTTCTAAAGGTATTTCGACATCTCTTGGGATATAGCACTACTATTTTCTAAATATAAGAATAATTTTACGTAAATGTAATAAATACATTTGAAGCAAAAAACATTTGTACGTATCTCAAAATTATATATCTTTGTTGATGCTCTTCCTTAAAGCAGCAATTGTTTTTTTTTTTTTAATATTAAGGTGATTTTGTGCTTAATGAAGTATCTGTGAATTAAACGACATTATTTAAATTGGAATTTTAATTTAAGGAAATGTGATATTACATATATCATTAATAGAGTAACGTTTTTATCAACAATTTTAATTTTATTAAATAATATAAATTTTAAAATAATAAGTATAGAAGTTGTAATTTATTATCATTAAACTAAAGTTTATTTAATTTGCATTCTAACTGTATTACATTAAAAAATGTTAAAAAAATTTTTTCATAATAATTTATTATTATATATAATATATATTCATAAGATATAAAATTACCATTTTTAGATTTTGATTCGTATTATATACAGCATTAGCTTCAAGACAAATTATAATCCGCACAGTAATTGAAATAACTTTGCCGACTGATAATATTGCAGCATAGAGTTTCATATAATTTTCTTCAATATATAAAATTTATTATATACACCGATAAATAAGGTAACTGTAGATAACCGATGAATAGCCTTCCGAGGGTATACCGCGTTTGCCAATCGATCTCATTATTTCTATATCTATTAGTAGAAAATTTAATTTAATGCAAAATTTGTATATTGCATATATGTAAAGAATAAGTATAAACTTTGTGACACTTCTTTTTTTTCTTAAAAAGATTTCGTTGGTGCAATTTTAATAAATATATGTGAAAAATTTTATTACTTTCTATATTTTTAAAGAATATAGTCGATTTTCGGGCAAAGATTCTCGTCCTTGTATTTAATTTTTTAACAATTGATTCGAGATTTGATAACTTTGTGAAGATGCAATTTTTTCATGAAACTCTGAAATATTATTACATTAATCTTTTGCATGTTGCGCTCATCTCATCGATCCCATTTTTCTCTGCAAATAGCCATCACTAAAAATAAAGCGCCTTCCCGCCAGTCGCTGATTTTGTGGAGAATCGCATAGTGGTGGTATTCCTCTGTGCTTTGCCCCGTCGCCACGGGCGGATTTACATGATCGACGGCCTCATGTTTATTCATGTAACCTCCGTATGGTCAAATTAATACACGCCGCTACGATAATTACCAATGCCGGACATACATTCACCTCGGCGTTCATCGCGGTCACGCATTATTTATCGAAATTCATCCAAATATATTGTACCATACAGTTAATACTTCTATCGACAATGAAATTTGCGTTTTCGGAATATCTATAAGTCAGAATATTTTTAACGGATTTATTATAATGTAATTTATATAAGTTAATATAATTTAACTTTTTAGTTTCTTTTTACAATGATCTAAACTTCTATGTCATATTTTGTTAAATGTGAGAGTCTCTGATCATAGATGGATCCCGCGTACGCTTTACTCCCTTCTCCACATAGCTTTCCGAACAAAATTTCAACGCCGAGATAAATTTGGAACAACCGCCTCGGATGTAACTCAACTGCGCTCTACGTTTCTGCCTTAGTTTCGTGTCAAGAATGTGCGAGAATCATAGGCGTGTCCTTATGGCGAAAATCGTGCTCGGGCATTTACGGATGAATGTGGAGTTTATCCTGTGTTGAAAGATTATTCGAAGCTTTGAAGAATCATCCAAAGGTTCGAAAAAAGATCGAAATTGTTCTATTCGATCTTTCGTGACTGTATGGTTGCGATTAATTATCAGCAGCTCTCTGATGTAACTTTAAATACTTTAAATAGTCGTTGTGTACGTTTAACATATTTTATAATTATATTAGAATATATATACATTCTAGTGACATCTTGAATTTTTAATTTATATTTTTTATTGTTTTCATTACTGTCATATTTCAGATTTATTATTTCTTTAACACACAAGAATTGATAATTTATCGAATGGTCAAAACAATCAAGAGCTTTAGCAATATAAATTAAATTGTGTTAATTTATTTTAATGCAAATAATTTTGCAATGGATGTTAAAATTTATACAAAATATATTAATACAAAATAAATTAAAGTACATATAGTATAACGAGCTTTAATAAAATTCAATTGTTTAGAAAAATTTTCTATAAACAATCATTAAACCTACAATTATTTTAAGTCAACGCTCTCATTTCGTTCTTTTTCTATATTTGTAATCACTGTTGTAGCAATTTTACAACAATTTTAGTATTTAAAAAAAAACTAACTACCCCGTTCTAAGAAAAAGTTATATATGATAAATCATCTTCGAGTATAAATCAAAAAAGAGTATAAATCAATTTTGAAATAAAAAACAGATTGTTCAATTATTAATTACGGGTGACTTTTTATTTCATCGATTTATCAATCATATTATGCGCAAAAATACAGCTTTTACGGAACAAAATTACATTTGTACACAATGTTATTGACCAGTCGATAAATTAAAAAACTCGCCCAATATTGGTTCTGATTTACAATGATAATAGATTGCATTTGTAACAATAACGATTTATTTGTAAAACACGCTTAATTAAAAAATATAAAAATATTTAATAATTTTTCATTAATAATACGTAACATATGTGCATCAAAAACGAGTTATTGCTCAAATGTACAATTACATATCATTATATATATTTATACACATTATATTTATATAAAATAATGTAATTATATTTTCTTAAAAAACGATAATTT